CGACGCAACTGCTTTTCGTCCATATTCTTTGATAACACGGACCGAGTCATCGCAGTCGGGGAGTCCTCCCATGATCATGTTGACCCGTCACTTCGGTGGAAGGGGTGGATTTTCGTGTTCTCCTTCCTCGTTCTGACGCTCTGCTCTTTTCTCCTTCTCCTTTTCTTCATGCCTTTTTTTGGGCGTGCGACTTCGGCGTCTTCCTCCAGAATTGCCTCGACTGCTGCTTTTTCCTGGATCCCTGCGATCCCGAGTGGAGGTGGCCTGACGCGAGTCCATGGGGTTTGAACTGTGTGAATAGGAGCTTTTACTCCGGGATCGATCGCCTCCGATGTTGATTTTGCCTTCTTTGTATTGTTCATACAATGTATTTTAGAAGTGTCGACAGGCCGAAGTAGCGCGTCTTGTCCGCCCGTGAAAGGAGCAGTAGAGGTCATGATTATCCTCCCTATCGCTTGTGCTCCTCGGGGGGTCTCCTAGGGTCCACTGACTCCAGGGCTTCTCTATAGTTGTTACAACAGCGTGAGAGGAGGGCTTGCTTTTACTCGCGGGCTCCTTGTCTTTCGAAGTGCTTGCCGTTTCCACGCCGTGTTTCTTGGCATAGAACATTTTCTCCTCCTCTATCTGTATGAAGGTCTGGGCCCGATGGAGTGCGTCTTCTATGGTTTCCTTCGGGTGTTTCTGCAGATCTTCCTTAAAAGAAGATTCGTACCATAGACCGTTCATGAGTGCCTCGATGGCTAAAGCTTGCAGGATTTGCCCGTATGCCGCAGCGGCGTTCTTAAACTTCTCGATCAAATTGCGGAGTGGTTGGTCGCGTTCTTGCACTAGGGTGAACAGGTTGACCGTCCTCTTTGTGATGAACATGGAATAATGTTTGATGAAAGCGTGGGCCAGATCCTTGAAGGATTTGATCGAGGCCGGAGGTACGTTAGAGAACCACTTCAAAGCGTCCTTGTTGAGGTGTTCTACAAAAGTTTGGCAGTGGTTGGCTTTGCGTTCGAGGTCGGTCTCGAATCGTTGCCTCTTCATGGCGATGTTGAATCCGGTCAGCCACAGGTTGGGATCCTCCATCCCATTGTAGTATGGGAGCTTCAGTTTTATCGCCTTGCCAAGTCGTACGTCGTTGATCCGCGGGGCGAATGGATTACGTTCGGCATCGGAGAGAATGGCTGAGATCTCGGGTGTCGAGCTGGTGGCTCGATGGACTTGGGATCCGATCGCGTTGATTCGCTGGTGAAGCCTTGCGATCTCGGAATTTAGTTCGCCAGATGGCTCCTCATCGTCCGCCTCTGCGCCCCTGATGTGTCGCTCCGGTGTTTCAAAGATTAAGCGTCGCCCGATCGGCTCCGATCTCGCGGTGGTCGCGGCTGCGGCGCTGAGTTGCTCGTTGTACTTGGCCTGCTGGGCCTGGAAGGTGTCTAGTTTGGACACCAAGTCTTGCGTGAGTGGCTGCATGGCGGCCTGGATAGCTGCTGCGAGGTCAGCGGCCTGGAGGGGAGCTGGGGGTGCTCTCGTGGGTGGGTTCGCGTAGGTGGGGTTACTATGTTCGTCGAGAGTAGACGTCTCGGTGTGAGTGGTGACATCGTCGTTGTTGATGAGACTGCTGTCGTCGACCGGAAGACTCATCGCTCCGATTTTCTTTTTGCTAGTTTGTCAAGAATTTATTCTCCTAGTCCCCACAGACGGCGCCAATTGTTGAACCAGAAAATCACGACTAGAGTTTGATTAACAGTTGTGGGTTTCGGAGAATAAGATATTTTTATTAATATCAAGTAAGCGAAGCGATTACAAAGAAGGGTATAACCGAGAGGTTATGCCGAAGTGAAAAGAAAGTTTGCGAGATAAACTAGAAAGCGTTTGAGTCTCTGGTTTTAGCTCTGCTGCTCTCTAGAATGTATGAGTTGTTCTTCCAGGCTTCGAGACCTTTGTATTTATAGGAATAAGAGGTCGGTTGCTCCGAACTCCTTTTCCTTTTGTTTTTCGTGAATATTGATATGGAAATATACCTTATTCTCGGAAGAATATGGAAATTCTCCTTTATCCTATGAGCTGATCCGATATTTCCGGTCCTTGATGATTATTCTTAGGGTTTTCCTTTTAGTCCGAGCTAGGTCGATGCAGTCTTCATAGTCCTAATAAGCTTAAGTTATTGATAGAGAAAGCCTCTAACAGGCGTCCTCATTTTTTTCTCTCTCTCTATTTTGATTTTGCGTTGGAGATGGTTTTGGTTTTGTGTATAGCGAAGAAACATAAGGGGATGAGTATTTATATGAGTGTGATTGGTAATGTTGTGACGGATTTAAGAATCATTTTTGAAGGAGAATCTCAAGTTCTTGTCAACATCTCCCATGGAACTGGATATGACATTGGAAAGGAAAACTTGTGTAGATTAGAGATATCAACATGTGGGCTTCACAAATTCATCCTCATCGTCTCACACATATCAAACGGCATATACATTAGCTCAATAGGGTTTATCATGCACTTATTTCTTCTCTTCAAGTTGTACTCATCCTCGATTTTTGTATCATGACATTGTTACTTTGAGTTTAACAAGAAACAAAGCTGTCATGAACTTAATTAATCTGCATAAGAAAATCTTCAAGAAAGGAAAAATAAGAGTTTCTATCATATTAAAAGTGTGTAGTCAATGTGAATTTGAGTGAAACAAAACTAATTAAGAATCATTTTCCAAGAAACTTGCTACAGGGGATTATGAGGTTTGAGCAAACAATTAATATACAACAGTATTAGAACCAATCTTTAACAATCAAACTGAGAGAGAAGAGAGTTCAAATCAGTTTTTGGTGTTCGTGTGTACGAGAGAAAGAAGAGACCGATTAAGCCAAGGTGGATAGGAATGCGTGTACGCCAACAAAATCACATAAGGGATAGAGAGAGAGGAGAGACATTTCGTTGCGGTTATAATATTGGGGATGGATTGTTTATTGAATGAGATTGACTGTTTTTGGATAGTCTTGCAAGAAAATTGATTGTATTTGGATGAATCTGATTCGTTATATTGCATCGCTCATCATATTTTGCAGGCCAAAAATTACAAAGTGACATATATAATAAGGTAAACATGGTTTCGATGGACAGAATGATGGACAATAGAGGATGGACATGTGTGTTGTGGTGCAGCGATCTGAGGTCTTGAGAAGATCATGGTGCAGCGATCTGAGGTCTTGAGAAGATCAACTTGAACAAAAGTTTTCCGATGACAAAAGCTTCATTCTTACTTCCAAATTGATCATGCAATATATTCGCTCTTTTTGTTCTACTTCTTCTTTGTTCACACACCCTAAGATTTATTACAATTTAGGAAAGAGTAAAACCAATGATATTCGATACCCAATACTAAATAAATAAATATTTAATATCAACTTACATTTAGATAATAAAACAAACAAATATTAAAAAAAAAAGTGGCTCAAATTCGTGGATATTCGCCCAATAGTTTTAAATTTACTGATATTTTTTATGATTGCTGTTTTAAGACATTTGCTATTTTTCTTTGTATTTCAAAGTTTTTTTTCATGATTAATCACGATACTGCATTCACAATTTAATCACAACAACTATCAATAAAAACCAATCTAGATTCTATGTTGGTTCTCATTGGTATTTCAACTTTTGATATTATTAGGTGAATACCGGCGCGATGCTATATCGAATATTTTCTATAGATTTTATCTTCTACAACATTTTTCACATTGTCTTACTTACTTTGTGACTGTTTGTATATATTATGCCAAAGTATTATAGTTTCATACGGAATAAGCTCTCAAATTACATATAAAGCTCACCTCTACTGCGTTTTCCTACCATTCTTCACACGCAGGTGTAATAAAAAAATTGACATGATTATTTGGATTGTTATGTGAGATAAATGTGTCCAAGACAGGAAAGAGGTACATACTGCATACTGCATGAGCAATTGTAAATATGAAAGGCATGTAGCAATGAAACCGAGAAACATGGACAATTTGGAATCGAGAAACAGAGAAAAGAAACTATATTGTATTGCTTTATACGTTTTCAAACGAAACAGACGAAAAGGGAAAACAGATGCATGAGATGACAATTCTTAAATATAGAAACAAAGACCGATAAACAAAGACAGTCGAGCAATTTTCCCCCCAATGTCTCATATGCTCATCATGGGAGTAAAATCAATCCTCTGTTGAGCCTCCACGTGAAGAGCTATCTTATGTTTATCAGAAATGAGATTGGTACTACCATCCTCTTCCCCAGTGGCGGACGCAGCTTGAAAGAGTGTGGGGCATGTGCCCCATACAGATTTTCAGATTTTTTTTTATATAACCAATTATTAAGAAACATTGTGGTTTATATACTTGATTCTCTTATTTAATTGAGTTGTGCCACATACAAAATTACAGTCTAGATCCGCCACTGTTCTTCCCGCTCTCCACATTTTGTCTCCCTCTCGAATTACTGATCGATGGTGTATAATGGAGCTTCCAAGCAGGTCATATCCAATTCGTCGCTACCAGGCTCGGTTCTAGGCATGGGCTGGAGGTGCATTTGCACAGGGTTTTGATACTTTTTCTTGTTTTTAGGCTTGTCAAAAGGGCCCAAAATATTTTTAAAAAGAATTTCTACCTAAAAAGGGTCCATTTGTTTGTTTTTAGCCCAGGGTCCTCTTTAATATTGGGCCGGCCTAGTCGCTACATGTTTAAGGTTAAATCCATCGTCATTATGTCGTTGCTGTACTCACGCCTCAGCAAAACTTGGTCTCCAGTTTCTTTAGTTAAAGGAGTTATCAAAACTTTTCATCTCCATCAAATTATTTTTCTCTAATACAAGTGGGAAAACGCTAAGAACATTGATATATATCTTATGTTATATCGGTTTAACAAAAAATCATGAGATAGTACATGTCTTAATTACCTGATCTCAGAACCAATGGAGGCCCCTTCGTGTCTCAACTCTCATGTATTGTCATTAAATAATGCAATAAGAAGACTTGAACCGATCATTCTCTCAAGTTTGAGAGAAATTTTAGTTTGCATTTTATTTGTTGTACATGAACATCGAACAACATAATGAAACACCAACTAACACATTCCTTTAATTGGATGAAAAAGTACTACCAGATATATTTGAGAATGATAGAAAAGTTTTCGCACTTGCATTTCTAAAATCCGCTAACACTTTAGAAAAAACGAATGAAGCAAAATTGTGAGCATAGAAATCAAGCAGATGCAGCAAGATTACCCTTGCGTCTTCTTCTCTATCCAATGTTCTGTCCCATTCTTGGCTCAATTTCTCCAACAACCTTGCTGTTACATTCTTTCCCCGTGTATCCGTAGACTTCACATTTACTTGCAAGAAAAACAGAGGAAATACAGAGAACTAAAGTTTTTCTGTAAACGTTTGACTAAATTATAAAACTTGAAGACTAAGCGCATAAAACATAGATTACATACCATAACTACGGTAACATCACTCCACAAATAAATATATACAAAAGCAACTGAAGTAGTACATGTTTCGTTTTTGAAGCGTCACATGTATCATATTAGTTTGTACAAAGTCTCAGGGGCCAGGGCATCGAAAATGTGCAAGGCCAAGCCTCGTTGAACTTACATGAGACACTATTAGCAGCAGCTTCTGGTGGTGCTTGATCCGAAGCAAGTTGAAAAATTCTTCACACTCTTTCCCCTTCACATTCTCCTCCACTACTACCTAAGTTTGGTTGGTGCTGCACACTCCGATCTACCTAATTGAGGAACAAAACAAAACATAATGAAGCAAAGTGGATTGTTGACAAGAATGACAAAACCCTGCAATAGAAATACCAACACATAAGACGGTATTGTTATGCAATAGAAATGAAATATAAATGCTAACTGAAACATTAAAACAAAATAGTGGTTTGAAATTGTATATAGCTATAGCAAGAACTCAAGGTACTCATATATACTAAACTGGTATACAAGAAGGTTATAGGATTTTTTTATCGAAAAAAATTATCTAGTAATGTTATTGTCAGAGGGAAAGCTTATTCTTCGGAAGGGAAAGAAATTTGGTGAGAAACTCCAACATTATGAATTAGAACGATGTCAATTAGATATATGGAAGTTAAACGATCTAGAACCTTTCCAGAAGATGGGATTGACGTTTAGAGAGCCAAATATTTGCAGTTCTCCATATTAGTTCTTACAGGTTCAAGTTGGTGAGCTTCATCCAGATTTGTTGATCTTGAAGCTCATACTCAACGGATCTTTATAAAGTAATCTTGGCGGAAGTAATCTGAGAATGTTCAATGGATAAATAGCTTGTGTCATCTAACTACTACTTACATTTTCTTCTTGAGTCTCTGGTAGACCTGGAGCTCCAACTTTTCCAAGACAAGATACACACCGGACCTTAAGAACCTGGTTGATATTAACTTGTTCAGTGATATATATAATTCAATTCATCGAAGAAGTAAACATCATAGAGCGACTTGACTAACGAACATCTCTACTCTCGACCTAATTGCTGAGCTATCAACAAAGCTACAATACACTACAAGCCACCTACGCTAACTACAATGATCATGCACTAGAGTCTAAAACAAGGTCCTAAAATTCGGAGGTAGATAAGTAGAGTCAGATGTCAATAGAAAGACATACCGATCTTCATGTTCGTCAAGAACATGTCGGAGAAGCCTGAGATCACCCTTTCGCAGAGCTTGCACAATGTTTATGTACTGGAGACACATAGAGAAATTGGATTAACAGAGATAAAATGTCACCGGCAGATGCGAAATAAGTTTGACATAGAGTTAAGGAGAATTTTAGTTAACAGAAGGAAAGCTGTTACCTCATGGAGTTTATAATTTCGCAAGAGCTCATATGTTGGTATGATTCCTATCGAAAGTTTTACGGGTATCAAACACTTCAATATCATATTGTTCCACAAAAGCCACATAAGCTCATCAAGCATCTCAACTCAATGCAAGAGTAATGCAATCTAAGAGTAAACCACAGTCATACCTTATATTCCGTTCTTTCTTGTGGTTGCAATATTGTAAGGCATATGATAGCTTTGTGTCAGCCTGCAAGATCGAAACAGAACACATCCCTATCAATACTTCGACAAATACTACAAAAATGAACGTTGATTGAACCAGAAAATCTATTTGGTGACTCACAGCAGGAAAGTTCTCGTTGAAGACTTCTAATCTTCCGGTATAATACATGTATGTCACCTTGTCTCTTGTTCGGAATCCCTCAAAGTCAAATATCCGAGCAGTCTCGATACTTCTTATCACACTTCGACAAAGATTGACAGTTCCAAGCTGAAACACATAATTTAGAGACACATGTTTAGTACAAATAGTGATGAATGCTAACCACTTGGAACTGTTGAACGCATTTTCACCTTGAAGTAGGTCTTGAACAATTGGCAAGTCACATATAATGCTCCCACTCGTTTTGGACCTTTAACCTACAGTTTAAAACTAGATAAGGAGCCAGAAAAAGAAACTCAAGTACACAGAAGTATAAAAGATAGATAGAAAAGGGCGGCTTACAGCAAGAACTCCGAAAACTTTCATGAGAAGAGATCCAGCCGCTTTCAATTTCTCTGGCGGCTTTGTAGAGAACGAAACAAATGAGTTAGAATCTCGTCGTATTCAGAGAATTTATCAGATTGTCTTATCAAACTGCTAGCATCCTGCATCATTCAGAGAGTAAAAATTCACTGGATTTAGTCTCTCGAAGCTCTTCATTACAAGAATCTAGCTAACAACTTGTCAACATACATTCTCAGACATCCTGCAAACTAAGGAAGACTCGCCAGATTACTCAATCCTAATTTAATCAGACAATTTCGAGCCCTAACTAAAGAATTATACTCATAAAACTCAATCATAGACAGAGAGTGTTACCTACAACAACTTAATCACAGACAATTTCAAGCCCTAAAATTCAAAAATTCACTCACTGGTACAATGAACCAGAAAGCCACAAACTTTGCAAACACAAAGATCATGCTCTATCGCAGGAACATACTCGTACTGTTTCGAGCCCTAAATTCAAAATTCACACTCATTCGTGAAGCATTAGGACCCTAATTATAACACATCGGGAAGCATCCTGGATTGAAACTGAACACAAAAACCACAAACTTTTACCAACAAAAAGCCACAAACTGAACCTACTGTTTCAAAGCTGCTAATTTACGAAATGGGTATTTTATGCACCTGGAAGACGTTGAGTGCGTCGGCGAGTGAAAGAAGAGATGCAGAATTGGAAGAGAAAGAATTAAAAACCAGTCTATATTATATTAAATTATTAAATTTGAAGGCATAGTGCATTGAAGTAGTCTACATATGATTAAAAAAATTTGATCTGATTGGTCCACATCAGCATATTCATTAAATAACAAAATGTTAAGTATGATTAAAACCATAATTTTGTTTTAAAAATAAAATAAAAAAATTAAATAAAAAAGTTCAGTAACAAATAGAAAAGAAATTATGTTAAAAAATCAAAAAAATAGTATCCTTAAAAATAAAATAGAAATTTGTTTTCAAAAAAGTTAAACTAATAAAAAAACCAATATCATAAAATTTTAAACTTATAATATAGATTACGAAAATTCTAACTTCTAAATTAATTGACAAGAAAATAAAAACACTGATTTCATTTTATAGGTAGAAAAATAAAAATAAAAAAGCTTAAATAACAAATAGAAAATAAAATTATGTTAAAAAAACCAAAATATAGCATCCGTCAAAATTTAAAACATTAATTTTTTTTATAAATAGAAAAATAAAAATAAAATAAAAAGGCTTAAATAACAAATAGAAAATAAAATTATGTTAAAAAACCCAGAACAAATAGTATCCTTAAAAATAAAATAGAAATTTGTTTTCAAAACAGATAAACTAACAAAAAAAAACAGTACCATAAAAGCTCAAACTTATAATATTGATTAGGAAAATTCGAACTTCTAAATTAATTGATAAGAAAATAAAAAAAATATTAATTTCGTTTTATAGATGGAAAAATAAATAAAAAATCTTAAGTAACAAATAGAAAAGAAAATTATATTGAAAAAACCAAAATATAGTATCCTTTAAAATTTAATAGGAATTTAATGTAAAATAGTGAAACTAACCAAAAAAGCAATATCGTAATAGTTAATAATTACGATGCTGTTACATGTGGACATGTTAAAGGCTGAGTGTGGGGAGAATGTCATCAACGTCAACATTGATGATCAAGAAGCTGCTGATATTGTAGAGAAGTTCCTCCAAGGACTAGATGAAAGCTTGAACAGAGAAGAAGAGCAAGAAAGAGCCGCACAAGAAGCTGCTGAGAAGGAAGGGGCTGAGAAAGCTTTAGTTGCTCCAGAAGAAGAAGCCAAACCAGAGATCAGTGAAGCTGATAAAGAGCTTGTAGAGACATACCATGCTTTGATGGTCTTGGCTAGAGAAAGTCCTGAAGGCTTCAAGGAGTTGTATGATCGCCAAGTGGGCAGCTCCTCAAGCAGCAATGAGAAGGGTAAAGCTTCTGAAGTTCAAGCTTATAAACCACCAATCCCTTACCCCACGATGCACTTTATAAAGGCTCAGATGGCAGTCTACTCAAAGTTCAGGAAACACATACAAGACGCTGGAATAAAGCTTCCTCATGGCACCACTTTGCTTGAAGTGAAGGATCAAATCAGATTCCTCAAAGAAGTCTTTGACAAGCTGGAAGTAGTGGAGCCAATTCTAGAGAATGTGGAGGCTAATCTGAAGAGAAGCAAGGCGCTGAAGACATAGACAAAGCTTCCAAATCCAGGAAAGTTTCTCATCACTTGTGAGCTTGAGATGTTAGACAATGTTGGAGCTTTGTGTGATTCAGGTTCAACAGTGACTGTCATGTCTCTCCACTTAAGCCAAACCTTAAATATCAAGGAATTGAAGCCCTGCAAAGCCTCTATCACCTTTGTGGATAACAGCTTTACAAGACCCTTGGGCATGGTAAAGGATTTCCTTTTGAAGATTGGGAATTGCTTGGTGCCAACAGATTTTGTGGTTATGGAGAAGACATATTCAAGAGAGGTGCCACTTCTTCTAGGAACACCATTCTTGGCAACAGCAGGAGCTCAAGTAGGCTTCAAGAGAGGCTCTGTGATTTTAAAGAATGTTGATGAGTTCAAGTCTACAATATTGTCTCTCCTTCCATAGCTTTTTGTGGAACAATCATTGAAGAAGAGAGTGAGCAACAACAACTTCCAGAGCGTGTGGAGCATGCTATAAGCTTCACAATGAGTATGCTGATGATAGACACTCTTCCTGATGAGCCAGAACAGAAGCTTAACACTGAGTTGAAGCTTGGAGATGGTTTGAAAGAGGATGAAAGCTTGATCACCAAGGAAGTGAAGCCTTTGATCACATCAAGTGTCAAGAAGAAAAGAAACAGGAAGACAGCTCGTGAGAAGAAGAGACTGATGTCAGTGGGCACTTGGGTTTACCAGAAGAAAGAGGTAAGAGCATGATAGGGTCAGGTTTTACCCAAGTAAAACTACTGCAAGTGCACAGCAAAAGCAGTTGTAGTACAAGGGGTATCGAATCCCAAGGGAGTAATGTAGACTACACTAAAGAGTTCATGTTCGGATTAAGCTAAGCGATAAGTAATGAATGTAATGCGAAATAACTAAAGTAATAAAAGCAAGTGGGCGTTTTTGAGACTGTTCTTAAAGTTCAGAAAGCTAAAGGCGCTAAGTCAGAACAATTCGCAGGCTGAATCCGAGAGTGTAGAATGCATGCAATTAGGAATGAATTAAAACCGTCTTGAACATGAATTGCAAAGATATAAGTAATCAATTCTCATTGCAGAAGTTAACTATGCCTAAATCACAGAGTTTCAAATCTCTTTGCAAATCCTAACAACCTAAACATGCAGTAATGATCAGGTTCAATTGTTCACAAAACTCCTAAGCCAAATCTCTTTGCACTAAGGCATTTTGCTCATCTAATACTAGTTCAGGTGATTAATAATGCTCTCACATCTATCAAAAACCTAGGGTTTCGAAATCCAAATGATGTGTCTAAGATATCGATATTAATGTAAGCACAGATGAAGAACCAATGAATTTCCTATAAGTTTTTAGCAATTCTAAAAACTCTTCTTCAACCTTTGAAAAGCCCTAACTTAACTAACAAACTACTCAGACATGGTGATTTGAGAAAACATCATGAAAAGAATAGATTGCATAAAAGAAATAAGAAGTAGAAAGTAAAGGAGTTCAAAATCTGCTCTGAAGGAGTCTGATTTGTCTCTCCAAAAGCTCTGCTACAAATCTCTCTCTAAAGCTCTCAAAAATAATAATAAGATACAAGATCTCTGCCAAAAGAATGGCTGAAAAACCTAATATACAAGCTAAAATACGATATGAGGCCTTTTTGCAAATACTAGAACTTCTGGGCCAAAACTGTAAATAATCCTCTATCTTTTAGAAAACAGCCACGACCCCTTCCTTTATGGGTGACGAGCGTCACCAAAAGTGGTGACGAGCGTCACCCATATGCATACTTTTCTTCCCGAGTTGGATACTTCGTGGCTTTCACTTGCAATGCTCCAAAAAGCTCCAATATCTCCAGTTATGCTCCATATATGCTATAACCTGCAAAAACTATTCTAGGTCTCTAAAAAGACCAAAAAGACTCAATAAAAATGACTTATATCATGGTTAAAAACCATAAAAACCATGATATATCAACTCCCCCAGACTTAGCTTTTGCTTGCCCTCAAGCAAACATCAGACAGAGAACAGGGTCGAGGTTTGAAAACAAGAAACAGTTAGTCAATCATCAGGAACACCACACTAGTTTGAACTTTCGAATCCACATACCATAGAGTCAACACAAGATCAAATTTCAGTCTAATCATCACAAGCTTAGCAAATCTCTCAAATCCAGTCCAAATTCTTTCAAGAAATCCAAAATTTCTACTGCTAACTCCTTATTTTTTTTATCTAAGTGTGATATCTCATCAAGATTCTGTCATCTTAATCACTTTACAGATTCTTTTCCCTTCCTAACAACTGAACAATTCAATCTCAACACAACTCTCCTATTTTCTCTTCCCTTGATCTTTTTCTTTGGATATTTTCGATTTTTCTCATCTTTTTCTTAACTTGTACAGTCTAAGATATGGTGCTACTCAATACTTGTGTTCTTTGTGAGGAGACAGGTTCTTGAGTGTGTTCACTACTGTTGTTCCTTGAGAGGAGACAGGGTCATGAATGCACCATTCTTTGGACTTAAACTTTTAAAACTACATCAGAGAAGATCAAAGAGAGACTGTATCTTAACCTTATTGTCAGTGCTGAAAGAGAGAATCAAGATCAATAAGAATCAATCACCAAGATAAAAAGTTTAAAGTTCATTATTGTGGAGCTAACAGCAAATTTTCCAGATTCTCTAAGGACCCAAACCTTCATTGCTAGACTGATCTACCTATGACTTTCAACTTAGTAAGACTTGTAATCAACTACTGTGGCAATGGTTCTTATAAGCAAAAACGTCCTATGGTTAGTTCCAAGAAAAACTGACAATTTCAAAATTTTGACTATATAAAACAGGTTTTTGACTCAACTTTAAGACTCTATAAACATGACACAAAGCACACAACGTCAGTATCCAACTCCCCCAGACTTAAACAATACTGTCCCCAGTGTTATTAAGCCAAGAGTTGGTCAAAAAGATGCATGAGAACTTGTAAAACCAAGGTGGAAAAGTGGTACCTCGCGAAGGACCTGGTGACGAGCGTCACCAGT